ATGGGTGAACGTGTGTGCAAATACGTGCACGCTTTAGGCGATAAGCTTTTTTGATTATGTCAGCCCACGAGGCCCTGCAATGCAAATTGTTTTGCTGTTTGGATGCAAGGAAAAGTTCTTTTGCTCTGATTATGTAGCGTACAGTTACAGTCTTCAGTCAGAGACAGGAGCAGATGGAGTGAGTATGAGTGTGTTTTGTTCAAGAATATCTTCAGGTTAGGTGTGCTTTCCAACACCAGCAGTCTTACACAGCACAGATTTCTCTTTAGAATTGTTCACTCAGCACTAACTTTAAAGGAGAACTCCGGCGCAAAATGAACCTTTGGTCTAATTACGTTTGTGGTTCGACTTGTCGAGACTGTTTTCCAAAGATGGCTGCTGCCTGTATACATAAAGTGCACTGTCTTTATAAAATATCTTCTCATAAAATGGTCTGTACACTTACAAAGTTTTCAATGCTTCGTTTTGCATGTAGGGACCCTCATCATGTTACTGTGTTAGTGTGGGGCAATTTTAAACCTTGTTAGCGGTATTAAGAAGCGATTTCTTTTTACTTATTAAATGCCCCCATATACTAGCGTATACGCTAAACAGTTTTTAGAGATAAAACTCTTTACATTCGATTATCATGATAACAAATCTCAGAGAACGGTCGACTAGGTAGGTACCAATGTGTAATTAGACCAAAGGTTCATTTTGCGCCGGAGTTCTCCTTTAAAGGGAAGGTTCACTCATAAATGAAAATTCCTTCCATAGGAAAACAAAATGGTAATATGGAAGTCAACTCTCTGGTTACCAACATTATAAAATATCTTATTTTTTTTTGTTCAACAGAAGAAATAAACTAACACAGGTTTCAAACAACATGAGGTGAGTACATTTTTGGTCAACTATCCCTTTAACATACATACACTGCCTGCACCTTGCAATGTGTATTATTAAACATGCTCATGGTTAAAACATGACTGCTCTCCAGTCCACATAGGCTACTGGTCAAAACCCAGGAGTGTCCAAACATCAGCAGTGCATTCAATTTATTTTTTAAATGTATTTGCTTTCCCTGTGAATTATGCAGTCTGTTTCATGCATGTATGACTCAGGCTGAGCCACCGCAATGATTGCCAGAGAAGGATATTTTTGCAACAAACCGAGCCAGGGAAATGCCAGCACACCATAAATCCATCATAATTTTATTTCAAATGGAATGTTAAATGTTCATTAAATTAAAATGAAATATGTTTAATTTAATATACCTCTTTTTTAAACTTGGTTTTACATCAGACACAGCAACATCAATCCGTCCTAATTTATACAGTACAGCCCTCTATCTACATGCATACCATAGATTGTGAATACTTTAATTTGTCACCTGTATTACATAACCCCCTGGTGTCACAGTTGTGTTCTGTTTAGTTTTTTTTTTCATTGGACTTGTCTGCATGTCTTCAGTTGCCATGTGTCTTCATCACTGTCATGATAGTCCATCTGTGCCACCTGTGTTAACTTAATTGTCATCATGTGTGTTTGCATTTAAGTTCCTTCAGTTCAGTCAGTGTTTGTACAATATAAAATCTGGAATGTGTGTTGCTCCAACATGCTTACATGCCTGCCTGTTCCTGCTTATAAGTTAAAAATAGTTATTCTGTCAAACTGAGTCCTGCCAGTTCCTGCGAGAACCATAGAGTTGCAGTATATCGAAAAAGACCAAATTTACGACAGGGCTATATTTGTCGCCATTGCTCCAGAGAGCACAGATTTGTTTTCCTTCGCGGAGAACTTTATTCGTCGAGGCGACACTAGCCCCCTCAACGACTTCTGGATCGGGACCTCCCAAAAACAGATGGACTAAACTTGATGGAAGCCTGTTATTTGTGGTGAGTGTTGCATCTCGATCCAGAAACAACCATCACCAGCAGCCATCGAAATCATCGCACCAACTGAAACTCTTCAGAAACTCTACATGCCTATCAGCGTGATCGGCCAAGATGGAGACCACCCTTTCAGAGTCTCGTCCAGCCGAGACCACCCTTCCAGAGTCTTGTCTCACCAAGACCACCTTTCCAGAGTCTCGTCCTGCTGAGACTACCCGTTCAGAGTCTCGTCCCGTCGAGATCACCTTTCCTGAGCCTCGTCCCATAATGGCTGCCACCATTCCAGAGCCTCGTCCCATCATGGCCGCCACCATTCCAGAGCCTTGTCCCCAGATGGCTGCCGCCACCATAGAGCCCTCAACAAATCTGGCCGCTGCCCGAGCCCTCTGCAATGATGATCACCGCCTCGCTGCCTGAGGCCTCAGCGGAGATTGCCACCGCTACTCCTGAGTCTGTTCCTGAATTCCCACCCACCCGACCTCCCTCTCCCACCTCCTCTCATCATCCAGCCATCATCCTCATCTCCTCTGCCTCGTCCCTCACCCTCAAGTCACCAGTGGAATGGTTGGCTTCCTGAGGGGCTTCCAGTTCTGCCAGGCTCCCTTATCCCCCCGGACCCACCTTGGTTGCTCATTGAACTACCCTCATCTCTGGACTGCATTCCTCTGGCTACACCCGGTCTCTTCATCTCCTGGCTCCATTGGACTCCTCACTCCCTTATGCTCCTCCTTGGTCCTCAGTCCCTCTGTCTCTACTGTGCCCTTCTGTGTCCCCATCTACACCTCAGTCGCCCGAGCCAGCAGCTTCCCCGTGTCTCTCTGAACCTTCTGCTCCACCATGGCCCGGTGAACTTCTGTCTCCATGTCATCCTCCCCCATCGGTTCTGCCTCTGTCCATCATCCCCCTAAAAACTCCTGGCCTTCAGCCTCCAAGGCTCCTCTATCCATCTGCTCCACCATGGGTTGTGATCCTTCATTTTGGACCTATCACCTCTCAGCCAAGCCCCTCTACTCCTCCTGAATTCTCCAGCCCCCCACTACTGCCTCCTGCCCTTCCCCTGCCCCTCTCATTCCTCTCAAACCCCCACCTTCGCCTCCACGGCGCGAGGACGTGCCTTGCTGAGAACATTCTGTCACAGTTGTGTTCTATTTGTTTTCATTGGACTTGTCTGCCGATCACATGTCTTCTTCACCATCATTATTGGTTCATCTGTGTCACCTAGGTTCACTTGGATGGTGGATTTCGCATTTAAGTTCCTCCAGTTCAGTCAGTGTTTGTCCGATCTACGTGATGTGTAATCCTGATACTTGTCTGTCTGCTCCAGCGTACGTATTGTATATTAAAAGTTTAAGTTTGTTCCGTCAAACTGAATCTCCTGCCTGTTCCTGAGAGAACCACTTGGACCCTTATTTATTATTTTTATTATTTTATTGAGATCTTTAGGAAAAGAAAGAATACTTGAACCTGTTCAGTCTGCAATGTGTAAACGTGAATCTTGCTGAAACTCACAACGTAAATATATATATATTTAATCTTCAGTGTCAAGTCAATGTATTAATGTTAACTTTTACATAGTACTGCAAATTTAAACATGTACATTTTTCATCTACTGTATGATGTAAAAAGGTAGGTATGGGCATTTGTTACCTTTAGAAGCTTTTTCTTACCTGATATGCCTCTTTGAAATTTACCTTCTTCGGTGTGGTGTAGCCTAATTCATTCTGGCTGGTTCCATTGTAATATATAAGTGAGTATTAATATAAGTGTGTGTGTGTGGGGGGGGGGGGGGGTTGGATGGAGCAAAGCAAAGTGATGAGTTTGTTTACGAAAAATATGAATATTTAACATGTTACAAAGTAAAATGTTAGCCAAACGCCAATACACGGTCTACTTATGCCTAAAGCTTTAGTATTAATGCTTTAGACTGAAGTCTGATCTGTATGCTCATTTGGCCAAAAGCTAGTTATTTTACATTATAAAGTTTTAAATATTAATATTTTTCTCATGTAAATTCATCGCTTTGCTTCAGAAGACCTTTATTAATCTCATTATTATAATGAGATGAATAGTAACAAAGATTTTGAAGCCCCCCAAAAAAGCGCATCCATCCATCATAAAAGCAATCCAAGGGGTTAATAAAGGACTTCTGAAGGAAAATATACATAATTAGAAACTGTCATCACTACCTTCCGCTAATGTCCATCCGCATGTTCATGAGAAAGTCGAGTTCCAGCACATGCTTAGGTGAGAGTAGACATCTTAAAAGTACAGGTAAAAACAAATAGGACTGCGTAACAAACTCAAGCTCCTCTGACATTTTTTTTTTTTTGTAATTCTCACATTAGACTTACCGGTGTTTTCTTTTGCTCTATCCTTTGCGCTTCTGCATTCGTCAATGTGTCATGCATCCAGTCAGAGTTGCGCCGGAACTAGACTTTCATATGAAAGCAATTGATTCTAGTTTATAAAGTTTTAAATAATGCTTCAGAAGGTATTTATTAACCCCCGGGAGCCGTATTGATTACTTTTATGATGGATGCCCTTCAAAATCTCAGTTACCATTCACTCCCATTATAAATCTGGGAAGAGCCTGGACATTTTTTTTAAAATATAACTTTGATTTTGTTCGGCTGAAAGAAGAAAGTCATGTGCTGGTGAGTAAATTATGGGATAATTTTCAATTTTGGGAGAACTAACCCGAACAAATTGTTGTAATAAACTAAACAACTTCAAGGCTGACCTAACAATTATTGAACACATTTTAAACAACATTGTTTTTAGCAAAACATAGACTCCTTTACACCCATACTTACCCATCATATCTCAATAGCTGCAAGATTGTTTTGCAATAGAAAATCAACACAATAAGTAAACTGTATTGTTATTATTTGTAAGTATAGTTAAAGAAACCTAATATAAATCTTATATTGTTAAATGTTCTGCCGAACACCCATTTTTGTAATGTAGGCACTGAAAACATCTCGAGAAAAAAAAAAAAAAAAAAAAAAAAAAAAAACATTTGTAGGCTATTGATTGTGTCCTCGAATTTTCTACGAAGATCTTGCTTCTACAGGCATGAAGTGAAGCACTTCTGTACTAGTCACTCCTCCTCCGTCAGTAGGACGCTACTCCACCCTATCCAGTGCGTTCATCTCTCCGTCCGTTACTGTCCCACGAGTGGAGAGGATTTCAGCACCGGGACAGATCCACCACACATCCGTCACCGTCTTAAGCATCATGGCGACAGAGGTAAGAATCAATAGCATGTTCATTTGAGCTGCACGCGAGAGGAAAAGACAGGAGAGTGGGTCCGTTTCATTCGTATCGTTTGTGTGAAGTTATTTTGACACCTGCTGTGGGGGTGAATCACGACGTTTCCTGTAAACGCTTTAGACACGTTCAAAGAAACCAATTAAGAAATGGAGACGTTGTTTATTTAAAGACTAATTTCGTCGACATGACAGATTTCCATTGTAATCAGCCAAAAGTGAAGCATCATTATGTTGTGGTCAAAAGCAGAGGATCTTCAGAAGAAAGAGTGAATGACACAGACGGTGTATTGTTGATGTATTATTCAGCACCCTGGACAGAGACACAAATATACATACTTGATGATCCAACAGATGAAAAAGTAAAGTATTGTGCGGCTCGCTGGAATACTTGCTTCTGATTGGTCAATTGCGACATTCATATAGCCTATAGGGTTATTTAAAACGCTTTGTAACTGAATATTGATCGGGGAATCCTATAAGTTTCTACCTCCTGTCTCTCCAAGTAAGCTGGCAAAATAATTTTAACTCAAATAAGTGTTTCGTGGCTATTTATTTGGTAAATAGCCATGTAAAAATGGATAGAAAAATAAATAGTCAAGTGATACCGTGTTGTGTTCACGAGTTTATTATGCAACATTATCGCTTACATTTAAACCACAATGCAACGACCATATGTCTTTCTTTGCTAGTTATTAAAATGCGCACACGTCGCAACTCTTCACTTAATAACGTGGGGTTAAAAGTAACCCAACGTGTTTTACTGTGTAGCCTACAGGTGAAAGCCTTCTGACGATTGGTTGAACCGCTTTCTTTGTCTTTGCGACTTTATATATTTAAAATGCATCATCTATTTGAATTTAACATTTCGCTAATTGGGACACATCTAAGTTAATTTTCTTTAATCAGTTTACCAACATTTCCGTGACTGTAATACAAAGGGTTATATTGTTCACAAGCGCTAATCACGTTAATCCAGTAGCACCTCATTGCAGTACACGAGATCCAGGGGGCGGAGTTGGATCCAGATCTAAGGGGTGGAGATGGGTAGGATTGGGGGTGGGGCTAGGGATCAGGGGTGGAGATGGGTATCATTAGGGGTGGGCTTAGGGAACAGGGGGCGGATATGGGTAGGTTTAGGTAAATGTAAGGTGGATTTCGTGTTCTGCTGTGAGGATAGGCCAACCTGTAAAACAAAAAAAAATGAGGAGACTGACAGCATCTGACCAATCAGAAAAGAGAAGGCTATTATCGTTGGTAATAATTCAAGCCAATCAGCTTCCAGGTTCAATTTAATGTGTCATCAAGCTTGCTTGTGGACAGCTGTGGAAGAAAAACTTTTAGGCAAAATATCGATGAAATCCAAATGAAGTATCTTCATCTATGAGTTGGTGAGTAGATGTTAGTTGGAGTAGAACTTCTTTTCTGTGTACATTTTTCTTGATGGGGCTCAATTTGTTTTGTTGATTTAGTCTACTGTATTGACCACTGCTGCTGATTGGAGGATTATCAATATAGGTTTAAGATATCATCATCATTTTAATTATTAGTAATTTATTTTAAATGCTGCAACATTTTATTGATTTAAATCAATACTGTTTCACATATCAGCCTCCCTAGAAATTCCCTCATTGACCACCACTGTTAGCATCCGCACAACATTGCCCTGACAACCACCTGCAATACTTGATCTGTTTAGCATCATGGTGTTATGCATGGCTAAGCATAACTTTTTCATAAATTAAAAATATATTCTTTTTAATATGCAGAAGCATCCACATCTCTTTTCTCCTATTTTATTGGCATATCATCCAGATCAATTTTCTCTCTAAGAATAATGTCTGTGTAGTTGCCCTATCCTTAATGCATAATCAAATCCTATCCAAACTGCATTATAAATGGTTTATATTTATAGGCATCTGTTTAGATTGCATGCACTTCCTGTTTACTCAGCCATCTTGTTTAAAGATTTATTCAAAAGGTAGGCAACTCCTTCCAGTGAGAATACACAATGAGATTCCATAGTTTGTAATGTTTTCAGAGAAACAATTCTTTCCCACAGCAACCTAGATTTACCTTTACTAGGTTATTAACACTGATTGTTGACTCTCACCTAGCCAACATTCACAAGGAAAAAAAAATGCTGTCACAAGGAGAGTTGTCATGCACTTGCTCTGGGCATCTTGTGGTCTACATCAGGCTCTTTTTCATTTAAGCATATTGTAATGAGTCATTGCAATGTTCCAGGAATGCTCCGAGTGCCTTTCCTCCGCTTCACTGGTCAGTTTAGCATTCAGTGAACTCTGAGGCGTCTTTAGATGGATCTGTAGTTTCTTCTCTGACAAGCACCTCAAATCAAGTTCAGTTAATTTTATGTTCTGGGGCTACTGTGACAACTGACGTGTGATGTGTTTCTGTTTTTTTTATGCAGAGCTGCTGCAATAGACAGTCTTTAGAGGATTGCTTGCTAATTATCTGTCTAGATGAGAATCCGAAATGTTTTTACCCTTGTGCAGGGGCCACAACAAAATACTCGCAACATTGATTTGTTGCGTTCGAGCCTGATAGCAACACACACAAACAGAGAGAGAGAGAGAGAGAGAGAGAGAGAGAGAGAGAGAGTTCACTTGGGTTTTAAAGGGAGCTAATTTGAACTATGTATCATATTGATTTGCTTATTTACTATAGGTTAATCTTAACCCTATTAAAGGGTACATATGCTTTTAAATAATTTCTTTTTACATATAAATCATACATTTGTGGTCTTTATAAAGAGAAACTGCAATGATTGGGTCTGAATTCTTTATTATTATAGCTCCAAGGGCCCCTATTCTACCCCTATTCTTATGTGCACCTGTGAGCAACTCGTTTTGGAGTGGTCTCTTTAAAGGGGTCATGAACTGGCTTTTTAAATTGTATTATATTGTTGTCTGAGGTCAACTTATGATGTTTGCTTGGTTTTTGCATTGAAATCATCAAAATGAATAAGTAAAAGTCTATTTTGTACTCAAGTTTTTAGCCTACCTGAAAATAGCTTGGTTTTTATGGGCGTCTCGCATTGAAGACTTGGAAGTAAACGGCCACTGCTGTGAGTGGATAACAGTTTTGCATATTATAATGAGTTTCAACTCACCCGTCGATGGACTTGGGGGAAATTGTTTTGAATACGGCCAATGTTGTAAAATGGCAATCGAATTGATTCGACCCAGAATCCGTGTATTGCACAATTCCTGTCAGATTCAATATAGACGGCACGGCACCGTTCTTTACTCTTAATCGGTCTGCAAATCCAGTCTTGTTTACAAAACAATCCTCAGTGAAATGAAGCGAACAGACGGATGATGTTTTACCCTCATCAGCCGGAGCGGATCGTAATTAAAATAAAGTTTATCCATGCAGTCCTAATGGAATCCAGAGGAAGCATATACAGCACTGTCTTCTTCCACAACCAGGCACTGCACAATATTTTGTATTGCTCGGTAGCTCGATTCAGATAGTCATCACGCGGTAGGCATCTATGTTATTTAGCTATGCGTGTAATGCGCGAATCGGTGGGCGGTTCAACTCCACCCTGTTCGGACATTTTTGTTTAGAGATACACTATTATATAGCGTTAAATAACATTTTTATTCACACGTTAAAAAAAGTCAACAACGCAAGACTTGTCCATCAAGCCTTACATGTTCGAGTCAGAGCGAGCGAGTTGAAAAAGAAGACGACGAACCTGCAGAACAACGTCTTCATATGGATGTATTGCAGTGGTATGTAACTGTATTGTGTTGTAAGTGAAAGTCGATTGGTAACACTTTAGAATACGGTTCCTTAATTAATGAATAACTACACAAGAACCAATAAGTAACAAAATATTAACAATCTAGTAAATATTATTAACTAACAAGAAACTCTGATTAACGAACTAATAAGTAATAGCGCACAGATGAAAGTGGTAGTTCACTATTAACTAATCAATAACTACTATTTTTGAATGCTTCCCAACTACTGAAAAAGTTTATTAATTATACAGCGTGTGCCCCCTTCTGGACTGGAGAGTGGATCACCTGTGACTGACTTAAAGGGGACATGTCATGCTAATTCCACTTTTTTAGCCCTTAGATGCATTTTGTTGTATATTTGGAGTGTTTATTTATAACTACAGAAACGTTGAAATTATTTTCTTCAGGTGCTTCGTTTATATCTTTATATTCTGTTTTGGTCATATTTTGCAACCTGTTCAGATTTTTTTCTGTTCTCTATGACGTATTTTGAACAATTACGTCACATAAGGACTTTGACTACCAGCCCAACACTTCGAGCAATCCTCCATTTTTATTTCTTGCTCCGATTTTGTAGTCCAAGCTCAAGGATGCAGAAGTTACGAGAGCGCAAGTCAAAATGTTCGGTTGTTGGATGTAGTGACCCAAAGCACTTCAAGGATTCCAACTTCAACAACCTCCTCCAGTATAAAGAAGGGTTTGCAGATCGACTTTTTCTGAATGAGGGTCAATTCCTTCTATCTTTGGAGACGACGAACAGAGCATTTCTATAAGCTGTAAATGAAGAGTTCAGATGCAAAAGCCTCTAAATGCCATTTGAAATTTTCTTCTTTAATGATGATTTTTATCAAACTTGTATATTAAAGTTCAGTATTTTCACTTAAATAACAATTAATAGGTAATTATCATTGCCATTTAAGTGAAATCACTGAACTTAAATATACAGGCTTGATAAAAATGATCATTCTAGAAGAAAATTTCAAATGGCACTTAGAGGCTTTTGCATCTGAACTCTTCAAATATTGTTAATAAAAATAAAGTACTTTACTGTCTTAAAACACATGGTGGGTCATGGTTTAGCAGTACCTTTGTCTTTCTTTGTTTTTGTTTTGAAGTAACGTTACACGTCTGCAATATTATTGTTCTTAAGTTTCATCAATGGTCATTTAGCTGCTGTGTTGTCTGATGCATTTATCTTGTTACTGTG